TGGCTGGGCTTAAAAAGCCCTTTGAGTTGTGTTTGTGGTGGGGTCTTCAAGGAGAGAGCTTGCCCAGCACTATGGGAGGGAGGCAGAGTGGCACGCAGCATTTGTTCCTGTTGATTACACTTCAACCTTCCCTTGTTTTAAAGAGACAACAGTGTCACCTGTTAGCACTGGGAAAAACCTCTACTTTCTCCCTTCCCGCCAGCAAAAACTGTCCTGAGCCCTTCTGCAAACTATGCTCCAGAGCTCCCCACACACAGGCTGGCCTTCCTCCTGAAGCAACTGACCAGCATCCTTTTGCTTCCATGGCTTTATAATAAAATCCTGCCCTGGAGCTGCTCCTGCCCAATTTCAGTCGAAGATAGATTTTGTTGGAAAGCTTTCTCCAAATCTTCACAGGTTGTTTAGGTGAATATGGAAGGAAAAGTTTTATGGTAGATAAAAGAAAAAATGTTCTGGTTTCTCTTCTGTTCTTGGCTAATTTCATAAGTGGGTGAGTTTGCAACAAACTGCAGGACAGATGTTAAAATAATGTTGGAGAGAGCTTGGGGGGAGGAGTAGGAATACACTTGTGTAGACTCAGCTCTATTCAGGAAAAGATCAATAGCTCTTCTAGTGGGTTCTCATTTCAGTACAGTGTGGTAGGACTATTCAAAGGAAACCTAACACAAGTAGTAATGATTAAGCAACAAAACCCCCATTCCTTATAATTGTAGACCAATGTGATACCAGCCCTTAGCAAATACATCATTTTTCTCACCGCAAGCCCAAAGCAGAGCTTGACTGTTGCCTCTGATCTGACTCCCCTGCGCACAGGTTTCTTTTGTTCAAGCTGAACAAGTTTATGTGCTCACTAATTGGCTCAGGATAGGTGTGGGTGGAAGCTGCGTCCTTGGAGCTTGCCCTGTGCAGGGACTCCCTTGTGCTGATGCACAGGCTCCAGCAATGCTTCGCTCCCGGGGAGTTATCTCAAGCGTACTTGGCTTGGGTTTAACCCCATGGTGAAGAGCAGCTCTGCTCTGCAATGTATGTAGTTACAGAGAGCACTGTCAGTGGGTTCAGTGGCAACTTGTGCCTACAGAGGAACATGCGGCAGGGACAAGTACTTGTGGTTGCGGTGGCGGCATAGTGGTATCTCTGGTTGCCGAAGGGCATACAGCGCAGGGACTATTATGTCGATGTTTTCAGGTTTTAAACTGCTGTAGGATCTGAGATGTCATGTCTCCAATATTTTTTACGTAGGAGCTGCAGCACATGGCCGTTGGTCATTTGTTTTCTGAACCCAGGTTTAGTTCAGAGTGTTAGAGAAGTTTGTAGCAAAATTGCAGATTTAAAGGCCAGAAGAAATCATTAGATCATTGGATTTCTTCCCTAGCACAGATGCAGTACATATGTGTTGACCCCGATGACATGGGTTTGACCGTCTCCACTAGAGATATTGCCACTTTCCTTGTTAGCTTGTTCCTGTGGTTAATCACCTACAGTGTTAAAAACACAATCCTTATTCCTCAGCTGAATTTGTCTGGCTTTGACTCGGATGTGTTGGTTCCTATTATGTGCTTCTGTTCTGGATTAGAGGGTCTCTGGTGCCAGATGGATTACTGCCTTAAAGAACTAGGAAATCAAGTCACTGCTTTTTCTTTTTAACATGACAAATTCAATTATACAAGTCTGTCACTGGAAAAGTCTTTCCATCCCTTGAAACGGTTTTGCAGCTGCTCTCTTTGCCATCTTCATATTTGCAAGCAATTTTAATGGAGGCATATGGACTAGAAATCAGCCTTTAGTCTCTAGAGAAATTATATGTGTCCTTTCCACACACCTTCTCCACACACCTTGTCACCCATCTTGTCTACAAGGTAGGCACAACACTGGGGTGAATTACTGACAAGCTCCTTCCCCTTTCTAATATCTTTGCTGAGTTTGTGCCCCAAGGTCCTACACTGACCCCCTGCACAGTCTCCACTACAGTGGGGAAAGCCTGGATTATGTGGGAAGAGCTCCTGTGCTGGTAGGGAGGCAGTTGTGATCCTGCATATGGCCTTCAGTCTAAACATGCTTTTAACAAACAGAAAGTACATGCTTTTTCCTGAGTGCTGCCCCAGAGTTTCTCTTGGATTTCTGCCCTGGAAACCCTTATTCCCAGCCAGGCAGGATATCCCAAGTGTACGCAGGAGGAGCTGCGGCAATTCCCCCTTCAACTTTGTCCTTTGCTTGGTGCTGGCTGGTTGCAGGAGAAGGTTGGAGCTCAGCTGTGAGATATTATGACTTCTCATCACTGTGCAGTCAGCTTCTATGGTGTGGTGGCAAGTGTCCTTCACCAGTGTCAGAAGCAGAAGGGAGCTGCTTCGACCATCTCTGCAATGGTTTGCAGCCTTTCTCCTGCACTCCATGAAGAGTAGGGGAGTAGAGTTTTCACTCTTCTCTTAGCTGATGCGCTGCAGTGGCTTAGCTCCAGGCTAAATGGCTTTATCCAGCTGTTCCCTAAGCAGGGTGGAGGAGAGGGTGACAAGAGCATGACCCTTGAGGGCAGCTGCCTGTGTGGCTGGCAGGAGCCCCTTGGTTACACAGAGAAGGCACATCTATCTATCAGGGTCACAGTACCATGGATGCTCTGACCCAGAGGGAACACTGGGCCTCCCTGGACAGCTCTAAAATCCATGACTTGATAATCACTTGGGTCAGGCACTGAGCAGGACTGTGCTTTCGAGGGACATCTTCTGATGCAGGGACAAATTTTAGCCCAGCAATGCCTCTGAGCGCTGCACACGTTAACAGGAGAGAAGGGTTGGGTGCTATGGTTCAGTGACAGTCGCTGAAGGACTTTGGGCCATCCAGGTCAGACACTCCCAGCAGTCTGTTCTGGGAGCTCGGTTCACCCAGTGGCAGTTCTGCAGCCAGTTTCCCTGGGGCAGTTTTACATTTTCCCTGTGGGAACTGTACTCTGAATTTCTTGAGCTTGTTTGGGCGTAAAATCTGAATTAGGCACTGAGTGCAAGTTTGGAGACTCGGAGTCTCTTCCTGGCTGGCTTGCTCTGATGTCCTTGTCTGAGCTCGGATCCTATTGCTAGAGGAGACCTTGCTTTCCATGTGTATTAAATTGGGGTTGTCTGTGAAATGAGCTTACTCAGCCCCGATAAGCTCATTACAAATCAGGCAGGAGTGCCAGCCTCACAGGGCTGTTGGCAGCCACTTGTGCTCGGCTTGTGCTGGGCACACGCAGCTGGCAGCAAACCCAGCACTGGTGGGTGGTGTTGTACAGCCAGAACTGGGACACAGCGAGGTTTGCTTGCTTGCCCCCCTTGCTGCTTCTGCTCTTCCTGGGCTCCTCCTTTTCCCTCCCAGGGAGTCCCTGGGCACAAGAGGAGACCTGGCAAGGGGCTGAAACACCACGAGACAGGCTGGAGAAGAGCATCATTCTGTGAGTCCTTCGCAAAACTGCCGTGTTTTAGATGGGGGCAGAGAAAGCTGGGATGGGAAGGTGCAGGCAGAGGGTCTGTCTGTGCCCACGTTTGCTGCCTGCAGTACCACGGTAGAGGGGTGAGCTCCCCTGCTAGGGAGAGGGGAGAGCCCAAGGGCTCTCGCTGGGCAGGCTCCCTCCTCCCCACAGCACTCTCTCCTCCTGGCCCATCTGGTGAAGTATGTCACTGCCCCTTCCCCGCGCCCAGCCTGCTCTGAGCAGCAGCCAAGGGACCAGCAGCGTCCCTGCTGCTCTCTTCCCTCCCCCGGGAACGGGGGGACTGCGGGCTTTGATGTGTGGGCACAGGGCTTGGGACAGGCTGTGTGCGCTCATGAGAGTCTGGCCAGGCTCCAGCTGCCTTTGAAGTGCTCCAGTGATCAGGATGAAAGGGAGGGGAGTCCTTCCCCAAGCCATCTGGCTCTAATTGCAGGTAGAAATGCTTCTCCGCGTCCCCCGTGGGGAGGGGGCACGCCGCTCTCTGCCGCTGTCTTCGTTAATCCCGCGGCTCTCGGCTGGGCTGGCGCGAAGGGCGAGAGCTCGGGAACAAAAGGGGGTTTCAGCCGGGCAGCCAGAAATAGGCGACTTGCGGGGGGTTCGGGCACCTCCGCTCCCAGCCCCGGGCTGCGGGGCCCCGCAGGCCTGCCCGGGGATGGCCCGTGCAGCCGGGGGGTTGCCAGTTGTTCCCATCTCCGGTTTCTCGGGCGCACTGGAGCCTGCTGGCCCTTTGACTCGCGCTTTCTCAAGCCAGCGCGCCGAGCGCGGAAACGAGGAACGTGGGAGCTCGGTGCGGTACCGCCGCTTGGCAGGGTGTGCTGTCCGCTTCCCTGCCCGCCGGCCGGCTGGAGCCGCTGCCCTGGCCGGGCTCCATGCCTGCTCCTCCCGGGGTAGGACTGGCTGTGAAGCACCGTGTGCCACTGCAGTGTCAGAGCTATAGGCACCACTGGCAAGTACGTTGTTTCGTCCTGTTTGGCCGGGTTGTGTCTACCATCCATAGCTATCTTTCCGCTCTTCGGGCAGTATCTGAAATCTCAATTAAACCTGTGTTGCGTGAAGTTGTCTGCCCTAATACTGTCACCACAGAGCAATTTATTTATGTGTGGTTTCCTCCCTTGTCATAAAGCCTTTGTTATAAACTTTTTATATAAACATATAAAATTATTAATCATGAGCTCTGGTAACTCTGTGACCAGAGGCAGCCTTTGCTGTTACCCATCTCCAGGGCCCAATAACTGGCAAAAAAGGGAGAGCGGGGAGTGGAAAGGCAGGCGAGATGGGCAATGGGACAGCAGAGGTGGGTAGAGAGGGTGGTCACACGGATGAGAAGCCTGAGTAGATCTGTAGGTTGTTCAGGTGCAATGGGGCCGAGCCCTGGCACAGTGCAGGCCACTGGGTATTAAATAACATGTTCATTGCTGCCCTGATGCTGCAATGAGATAGGGTGAAGGAGCTGTTTAGTGCAAGAGACCAGGCTTTCCTTGTTGGGCAGCAGTTGGCTCCCTGCACAGCCACCCTCAGATGTTCTCACCACCTCTTCCCTCTCCAGGTCTCTGCCTCATCTGGCCCCCGTTCGGCAGGGGACGAGGAGCTGCCACCATCGGGCAAGGCGCGGGGCCTGAGGCGAAGCGGGCAGGCTGGCCTGCGGCGGCATAGGCGCCGAGGGGTGGCTCAGCAGCCTGCCAGGAGCCCTGTGGTGCCACAGCCCAGCAGCACTGGCCAGGACGAGAACCTGCCTTTCATGCTGGACCTGCAGAGCTTGCCGGGGCTAGCCAATGTGGACCTGAGTGCCCAGAATCCCAACATCCAGGTAGGGAGCAGGTCTGCACGGGCAGTGAGGGGATACGGGCCAGCACTGCCTGTCCTCCCCAGCCTCATTTGGTTCCCTAAGAGGAGGAAACATCTCCTGGGTGGGATTCGTGCGGCCACTGCCATCAGTCTTCTTGGTAACTACCAGATGCGAGTAGCTGACCGAGACAGGGTGCTTTGCCACAGAAATTCGGTCATGGCATCTTCCCTGTTCCTACAGCCCCTCTCTGGGGGCAAATGCTCCTACAAGGGTGACTTATCAATTTCTGATGGTGGTGTTGGTCTCTGTGGGTGACCACCAGCCACCCCTACCCCTCCTGCTCTGCCCCTGCTTCAGTCCCTTCCTCTTGTGCTCATTATGTGGTACTGTACCCCAAAGCATCTCTGGCCTCTCGGGCTGGGAACCATTACATGGGCTGGTTGGTCCATCCAAGTGCTGTGCCCTGGCTCACTGCCCTGCCTCATATCTGGCCTCCAGGTGACCATTGAAGTGGTGGATGATCCTCAGGCTGAGATGGAGATGGACTTGTTGAAGGAAACAAGTAATGACTGGTCCCTGACATCCCCTGAGTGGTTGTCTCACAAGGACCTCTTCTGGCCTCTTTTCTGGGAATACACTGACCCCACTGAAGGGGAAGAGGAGGAAGAAGAAGAAGATGAGGAGGAGGAAGAGGAGGAGGAAGAGGATGACAACCTGGATGTAGGGAACAGGGAGGAGGAAGAGGAGGAGGAAGAGGAAGATTACACAGCAGAGTATGAGGAGGAATCAATGCTCAGTGGAGTGGGAGGTGACTGGGACCAGCAGTGGCCCAGGCAGAAGAACTGGATCTTTAAGGACAAATATAATTACGGTGAGTCCTCTTGGGTGCCTGCAGCTGCCCTGCACATGGGCACTGCCCTGCCTCCCTGCAGAGGAAGCAGGACTGCACTGCAGATCACAGCACACTGGTGCTCAGCTCCTACTAAAAATTAAGCAAGCATGCCAAGGAGTAAGGCCAGCACCCAGCTGAGGCTGCTGGCAGTGAGACATGCCAGCATCCCAGTGGGAATTGTCCTTGCATGTAATCAGACTGGAGCCTGGCTTCTAGCAAAGGCATGTTCAGATGAGAAATACCATGTAAAGGTTTAATGGCAAGTACTGCTGCCATTATCTCTGTCCCTGGTGTGTTACCGGTGCCAGAAGCCTTTACCACAGGCCTGGGCATCCTCAGGAGAGGAGCTGCAGAGGGCTAGATGGCAGGTGCTGCTGGGCAGACAGGCCAGGGCACCACAGCAGCTCCCTCCTGCAACTTCCTGGCCACAAGGACAAAACCAGTCAAACTTTGCTAACACATTGATGCTTCAGCATCATGGCCAGTGCATCAGGCAGGTTTGGTGGGGATGGGGATGGGCAGTGCTGCCTGTTTGGGTCAGTATGACTAGGAGCAAAGCTGTAAGAGCAAGAACCTTTGCTTGGGAGCTGCTTCCCTGCAGCTGACAGCAAGGACAGGGTTGGCCCTTGGCACCACATGGCCAGGCACCTCCATGTGCCCTGGGCAGCGCTAGGCCTGCATCTCTGCAAAGGACATACCAGGGACAGGGCAGAGCTGAGGGAGGCCCCGGGTGGCTGCTGGCTCCCTTCCTGCTGAAGCTGTGCTGGGGTCTACTGCTCTCTGCCTCTCCCCTGTTGTACACAGACTATGAAGACGAGGAGGAGTGGAGCCTGTGGTCCCCTTGCAGCATCACCTGTGGCAGTGGCAACCAGAAGAGGACCCGGTCCTGTGGCTATGCCTGCACAGCAACGGAGTCAAGGACCTGTGACCTGCCTCACTGCCCTGGTGAGCCCTTGGCAATACCAGTGCTTGGGCACTGACCGATCCCAGTGTGGGCTGCTCTCCTGCTGCTGCTGGCTGGGCACTGCTCATGCTGCAAGAGATAGTTATGTTTAATGTGATCTGGGCTAATGACCACAGGGGTTTGTTTCCGTAATGAAGCTCTAATGAGGCTTTTACATGATGCCCAAGGGTGGTAGAGCTGGGTTCCAGCTTGGTGTGCAACTCCTTGCACCTCTCTCACACTGAAAGCTTAAAATGCTCTCCTGAGCGAATGAGCTCCTGATGGAGCTGGCTAAGTCCACTGGGTTTTGCATAACCTTGGGTGGGTCTGTCCTGCAAGTCTTGCTGCCGGTCCACCCTTCCAGGCAGAGCGCCAAAGCATTGGTGGGAGCGGGAGTGGAAGATGGATGGTGTTTGGTGCCCTTATGGAGGAAAAAAAAACCCACCACTCCTGGTGTTCACCCTGGCACTTTGGTTTGTTTTTCGTTTCTCAAGGAGCAGATGGAGAAATGGTCTTCCCCACAAAGGAGACGCCTTTCAAAAGCGACAACACCACAGAGCTCCTCAACTCAGGTCAGCTTCTGCCTCTGCCTTGCTCTGTGGGTTTCAGTGCCAGACCTCATGGAGACTGGCTGGTGGGGAGGGCTCTGCCAAGGGCTGGCACATTTGGCGTCCAGACCTAAGTCACCCCAATCTCTGCCACAGAAGGCTTCAGCAGTCATACAGGCAAACCCAGTTTCTCTCACAGCCCTGGTACAACATGGTCCTGCTTTACAGTGCACTGGCTGAGGCCAGCCTGCCACATGCCCTCTCCCATGGTGGGTACTGCCAGCCCAGCCCTGTGGCAGGTGGGTCTGCCCCAGCATGAAACCTCTTCCACCCTCTTAGTGCCTCAGTGATCAAGCCTGGCTCCAGCTTGTCCCGGGAGCCTGACTGCTCCTGCCTGGAGGTGCTGGCAAGGCCATGGGCAAATGGCAGCTGGGTAAAGTGTGGTGCGGGCTGTGCATGCCCTCACGCTTTGGTGTCCTCCCCCAGAGGTGGACAGCTGTGAGAAGTGGCTGAACTGCAAGAGCGACTTCCTCACCAAGTACCTGAGCAAGGTGCTGACAGACCTGCCCAGCTGCCCCTGCTCCTACCCTCTGGAGGCTGTCTACAGTGCCGTCAACCTGCGGGATGAGCAGCAGGGCAAGAGCTTCCGATGGCGGGACGCCAGCGGCCCCAAGGAGCGCCTGGACATCTACAAGCCCACAGCACGCTTCTGCCTGCGCTCCATGCTCTCCCTCGACAGCACCACCCTGGCTGCCCAGCACTGCTGCTACGATGAGCACACTCGCCTCATCACTCGTGGCAAGGGAGCCGGCGTCCCAAACCTCATCAGCACCGAGTTCTCCCCAGAGCTGCACTACAAGGTGGACATGCTGCCCTGGATTCTCTGCAAGGGTGACTGGAGCCGCTACCACGCCGTACGGCCCCCCAACAATGGGCAGCAGTGTGCTGACAACCCCGCCGAGGAGGAGTACCTCTCTCAGCTGCAGGAGGCCAAGGAGTACTAGCCACAGCTATGTCAGAGCAGCCATGGCTGCTGCCGGCTCCCACCCCACCACAGCCTGGTGAAGCCCTGGCCCTGCCCGGGGGCTCCTCACTGTCGCTGGGCAGTGCAGGGAGGATGCAGCGTCTTCCCATTCCCCCAGAGGGGTGCCTTGGCCCTCCTTGGATTTGCAAGGGTGCCAGAGGTTATAATGGTGTGATCGTCGCCATGTCACATGGGGTGGTCCTGCACCCTGGGATGCCTGGTCTGGCGCACAGGGAGCTGCAGGGAATGGGAGGTGTAAAGGGAATTGGGGGCTGTTCCTGTCTGCTTTTGTTCTCCACAGTCTTTCAATGCAAACTGAAAGCTGAGCGTCTTCAGGGTGAAATGGCCTCAGTTCCTGCTGGCTTCATGCTGCATTTGAGGGGGAGCAGCCTGCTCTTCCCTGTGAGCCTGCCCTGGCACATGCTGATCTACTTCTGAAACTGGGGGTGGGTCCTCTAGGGAGGGACAGGGCTGTCCCAGCCATGCATAGAGTGCAGGTGCCCATCTCCTCGGGTTTTGCATGCATGGTTGGGAAGGAGCAGGGTTTCATGGGTCCAGAGGGTGTGTGGGGCAGCCACCGGCCACCTGGGCTCCCTTGGCAAGGTTGCTTTGCCACTGTGGTTTGGGTTGCAGAAGGGAACACTGCGTGCCAAAGCCAGACACATGTGGACCTCAGAGGAGGTCAGCATGGAGAAACACCACCTGTGTGCATTTCAGCCCCTTTGCCTTAGTGCTTAGGGGAGCTGGGTAGCAGCACCCATGCAAGTCCCACCACCAGCCTATCCTGGCAGCCCCACAGTGGGTTTCAGTGCTCAAGAGTACATGTGACACTGCCCAGCAGAATGTGCCATGTTTCCAACCCACAGCACTGCTGGGGGCGGGAGGCAGCTCAGCTGCCACTCCTGCTGCTACTGGAGAGCAGCAAAAAGCACTAAGACAAGTTCTCAATGGGGATAGCAACAAATCAGGCACTGCTGGGTGCACCCAGCATTGCCCTTCTCTGGTCTGCTGCTGGCCTCAGGCCCTGCCCAGGTCCCCAGCAAGAGGCAGCCCAGAGAAAGCAAGTTGTGTGTGCAGCCTGCACTCCTCAGGCTTGCTGCCTGGCCAGGCGAGCCGGTGTGCCTCCACTCGTGCTAATAATGTCAATACCTGGTGTTTGCAGATCATGGTGCTCTCTATTGATGCTTTGGTCTTGCCTGGGTTTTATTCAGCTTTTCACAGGTTCATGGCAGTTTCTCCCAGCATATTCTGGGGGCTCCCAAGTTTCCCACAGAGAGGCTAGGCTGAGCATCTTTATCCCTGGACATTCAGTCACTGAACCTGGCAGAAACTTCATAGCTTTCATTTAGCAAATTTTATGCATTGAAGAAAACTAAGGAGCAAGTCAAACACATGTGAAGAAGAATTGAGTCATTGCTAGACTACAGGTTTCACCCAAAGCTGTTGGCTACTCCATAGTTTTCTGCAGGACTCTGTTGGACAAAAAGCATCTGTGTGGATGCAGAGGTCCTTGGTTGACTGTCCTGTGCTAGGTCTGTCCTTTCAGGAGGTCCCATAGCAATCTGGGAAGCCTTGTGGGAGTATCTTTTATATGTTGAATGTATGTTGATCCTTTTGCCTTGGTTATGGATAGAATATTGTGTCCTTGGTTATCAGTACCTAAGACTTCATTGCTTGTGAAAGTATCAATGAAGTTATCACTGAATTATTCTTATCTAACTATTATTCCACACTTGTATCCCCAGACTCCAGATATGGGTGTTATCAGAACAGGCAGACACCATCCATTTCCCAATAGGCATGCAGTCTGAGATAACCGGTATTATATAAAGGGCGAGAAGGAAAGCACAACCAAATAAACATGGATGGTGACCCAGACCATGGTAAATTTTCATGACCATTACATGTTCCCTAGCCCAAATGGTCATTGGCTTACTAGTTTCTGGTAAAGACCTGGTCAAGAGAGGGTGGCAGTGATCTGATGGCTTGGTTCTGGGAGCCTGGCACATGTGTGGGGAGGCTCAGCAACAGACACAGAGGTGTTTGTATGGAATGCAGACAAACTGAGTGGCCAAGGCCATGGAAGGATAAGCTTGTTATCTTCTGTCATTCAGCAGAACATCTTCATATTTCTTCTCCCTTATTATACATAATCATTAGCATCAGCAGAGTCTCAAAGGAGCTTATTTACCATCAGTGCAGACTTCTTTAAAAAAACATTCTGTTAAACTTTCCTAGTGTGCAGTATTAGACCCACACATAGAAGCAGGACCACTGCAAACAGCTGTTTTTTGAAGGAGACTTTCAACAGCTCTGCCAATTTGTTTATTAGACTGGCTGCTTTCTGAGGAATTGCTCTTATAATAAGGACTGTTACCCAGGATTTGCACCCACCTCCTCTTTCTATTGAGTACGTCAGCCAGTCTAACCCCCCCAGAAAGAAAATATCATTTCTGTAATAAATGCAGTTCCCATCCAAGGGCAAGTAGAAAAATTTGTTGCATTGAGCCACCCAAAAAGCTGGTTGAAAGCCAAGTGGCTGTTCTGCCTCGCCGCCTCTATGGTTTGGATGATACAGGCATGACTTGGAGCATGAGAAACAAGAAGCAGTGTTGTTCCTCACACAAGCACCTTATACACCAGGAGGCTTTGTGGGCCACCATGAGAAAAGCAGACATTAAGTAAGCATTTATTTTTGTATCCCATCAAAGATTCCGTCCAGCCCACTGCTATTTAAGTGATAAATCTCTAAGCTTCCACTTCTTAAGTTTATTTTGTTGGGTTTTGTTTTGTTTTGGGTATTTTTAATATGTAATATATATAAAATGCCTTTTATTCCTACAAAATTTCATAGAGAAGATTTCTTTATTCTGATGCTGCAATAAAGCACTTTATATATGTATGTGTTGCTGATGTCATTCACTTGGGACTGAAGCATACGTTGCTATTTGTTTTGGTTGAGAGGGAGGACACCATGTTGAATGCTATGTGTGTTGGATCCTCAGCACCATATGTACTACAAAGACCCACTTGGCTTTGCCTCCTTCCCTTAGCCTTTGCATTTGATGATGTCTGTCTGCAAGAATCAACAGCTAACAGAGACTATCCAGAGCCCGCCACCACAGCCATGGATATGTGAAGCTCTGCTCACAGGGAATGAAGCCTTGTCGTGGGTTAAAACCAGGCAGAGGGCTCATTCACTCACTCCCTCCCTTCTTTGCCCTCCCCTACTCCTGGAAGGACAGAGAGGAGACTCGAAAAGAATGCAACTTCCACAGGTTGAGATAAGAACAGTTTAGTAACTAAGGTATAACACAGATCACTACTGCTACCACCAATAATAACAATGATAAAGGAAATAACAAGGGAAGAGAATACATCACCTCACCACCAGCCAACCGATAACTGGCCCCCCACAACCCAATCAAGCACCGACCCATACCTCCTCAAACCCTGCAGACTCCCAGCCCTTCCGGGTAGCTCCCAGTTACATCCATGCTGTGGTATGGAATACCTCTTTGGTCAGTTTGGGTCAGGTGTCCTGTCTCTGCTTCCTCCTGGCTCCCCCTCCTCCCTGGCAGAGCATGAGGCTCACAAAGTCCTTGGCCAAACCAAAACATCCTTGTTATCAGCTCTGTTCCCGAGCTGAAAGTCAAAACACTGCACTGCACCAGCTGCCAAGAAGGAGAAAAATGACTGCTACTGCTGAACCCAGGACAAGCCTACTACAAGAAGATTATCAGGGTCAGTGCTGAGAAGCAAATGCATTGCCTGTGCCTTAGCCCTCACTTCAGGTTTTATTCTGTACTCAGCCTGGTCAGATCTGACTGCCAGCTGACCTAACCCCAGCACACTGCTTTAAGCAGGTGTTGAGTATGAGAGTGGATGAAAAACCCAGCATCATCCCAGCTGGAAAACTGGTCTGGCAAACCACCTCCATAGCCAACAGCTGATGATAGACAGGATTTGCAAAGCTCTCCAGGGATCACAACTTTTTGTTGTTGCCGTTAATTTGCTGCATAAATGGTGACCACTTCCAAGCTTTTGCTACTTGCAGCTGTTTTCCCTCATTCTCTCTTGCTCCTTTTGCTTTGTGCTGGCTGCACATCTGTCAAGGGTTTTCCGCTACTCCAGCACAGGGCTCTGCTCCACAGCTGCCTGGCGCCACTGCTGGCCCCTGTCCTGGGGAGCAGATGGCTCCTCTCTGTGAAGATGCTCTGAACTTCCTACTGGTCTTCTGTGATATCAAAAACATTGTTCATAGGGTCAAAGCCAGGGGTACAAACTGAACTATGCTCTGCAGGAAAAGAAAACAGAGAAAATCACTCTTTCCCTGGAAGGCAGTCAGCAGTTACTACTGTGTATGTAACATTCCTAACGTGCTTTTGCCTTTTGCAACAAGGTCCTTGCTGTGCCAGATGCTGAACTCTGCTCTGAAACTCCTTGGCTATAGAAATCTCACATCCGGGGACAGAAGCAGGAAGAACTGATGCCTTAATTCTGCAGATGCTCAAGACCTGGAGTTGTCACCTGAAATTATGGAGCGAGTCTGCAGCAGAGTCTCAAGCTGTACCTCTGCCCATTGCTTTAAACACAAGATTTCTTGACCAGTTGAGTCACCTTAGTCTGCCAGCCTGGACTGGAGCTGGCTCTGCTGTACCAGTTTGCCAGTGTCCGACTTGCAGCTGAGTTGGTTTGTAAACAGGAGGAGCCATGCCTGGATTTTGCTAGGCACAGCATTCAGCATGTCCCTGCTGACCTCCCTTCTTAGCCCCAGATGTGTCAGGAGCAAGCTGTGCAAGGACCTTTGGACTGTGAAGGGATGGGTGCATGGTCAGCTGCCGGCAGGACAGGCCAGGTGAGCGGAGCTCACCTCTCAGGGATCAGCACATGATTTCGTCAGAACATGGTTGCAGCAACAGAGATACCAATAGCTGTTGGTTTGGGTTTTTTTTCAGAGCTTTTGCTCCAGGAATCTGCCTGTTGGAAAGCACACAAGAAGTCCAGCTGGGCCTAGAAGGAGCTGATTTGAGAGGAGAACACAGAAGATGATAATGCCAGGAGAGTTCAGCCAAAGTCTCTGGAGCTAACCTGAACTGCAAGCTTGGCCATGGCCTAGGAAAGAGACAAATGTGGTTGTAAGGGTCTGTGGACCTTGAGTTCTGGAAAGGAAACTGGAGCTCTGGAAAGGAAAAAACCCCTTTCAGGCACCCCAGTTCCTGGTCTGTGAAGGGGCACACCCCGCTGTGTGCCACATTAGCCCTGTGCACTGTCTGTGCTGATGCCAACTGCTCTGTAGGAGAGTAAAAGAGTAAGTCACAGTAGCTGCAGATTTTGGCAGCAGCCCTGCTGATCATAGTGTGAGCACTGGGCGA